CCGGCTGCTCTTGGCGCGGCCGCCGTGCGAGTGGCCGTGGCCCGCGTCCTGGCCGATGCCGCTGTGGTGGTGGAAGAGGCACAGCCCCAGCACGTTGACCAGCAGCCCGGCCACGCCGACGCCCAGCACCACGAGCGGCTGTTGCATCTCGTGCGGCTCGATGAAGCGCTCGATGGCCTCGAGCAGGATGGCGAAGCAGAGGCCGGTCAGGAAGATGGCGTTCACCAGGGCCCCCATCACCTCGGCGCGGATCCAGCCGAACGTGTTCTTCTGGGTGGCGTGGGTCCTGTGGGAGAAGCGCTCGGCCACCAGCGCCACCACGAGCGCCAGCACGTCCGACAGCATGTGGAAGGAGTCGGAGAGCATGGCCAGCGACGCGGTCACCCGGCTCACCACCACCTCCAGCACCATGAACATGAAGGTCAGCGCCAGCATGCACAGCAGCCGGCCTCGGTTCCGACCCCAGCACCCCATGGCTGCGGGGCCCGCCGAGCGCGGGCGGACGGCTCCGCGCACTGCCCGAAGCCGGGGCGCTCAGGGAGCCGCGACGGGACTCCCGGGGCCGAACGGGAGCGAGCCCGAGTCAAGCCGAGCTCCCGCGCCGGCCGGCGTCCGAGCGGGGTGGCGCTGCCGGGGAGCGCTGCTTCTCAGGCGTACGGAGCCGGCGACCGCGGCGAGGCCCGGCTCAGCCCCAGCAGCCTGAACACCCACAACGGGCGGCAGAGGCGGCGGGAAGCTGGAGCTCTCGGAGCAGGAGCAGGCGGGCGGCGGCGGCGGCGGGTGACTGGTAGCTCTGCGCCGGGAAGGCTCGGAGCTTCAGCGGACTCTCCCTCCACCCGGGTCTTCGCTTTGGTTTGGGCTCAGGAGGAGAAGGCTTGAGAGGCGGCGGCGACGATAACTGCACTCGGCTCCGTCTCCGGCGCCTTCTTCAACCCCCCCGCCTTTGCAGACGGTTTACAAAAAAACTTTGCTTTGCACTCGGAACCCCCGTTTTCACACGGACCCGACCGTGACAAGGCCCCGATGTCCCGCCCACCAAGCTCGCTACCCTTTCTTATTGGTTAGGACCCTCTCACGACAGCCTCTATGCCACGCCTATCACTCTCGCTATTGGATAGCTGCTCAGCGGGGCGGGAGGGGGCGGGGCCACGACGCCAACTGATGGGGGCGGGGCCTTTCCATCCAGGAGCCGGGCGTGGGCAGGGGGACCGGCCGAGTGCAGCGCCTTGCGTCGTGGGGGAGGGTCGGGGGCGCGTGCCGCGTGCAGCGGGAGGGGAGAAGAGGGTGGAGGGGGAGGCGAGGGGAGGGGAAGGGCGGGCCGGGTGGGGACCCTCGGTCGCCGCCGCGGGGGAGCTGCCAGTCATCCCCTCCCGGCACACACCTGCGGGGACCCAGCTGCGTTCAGACTTTGATCCTCTGAGCCGAGTCCACGTGGGGGCGGGCCACGCCGCGGCGATGTGACAGGAGACAGCCAGGAAAGGGTCGGGAAAAGAAGCTCCTGCGAAAAGGGCCTTTGGGTCGTCCTGCTTCCCAGAGAACCTGCGGACTATGCTGGCAGCCTCTTAAACAAGTGCTGAACTCAACTTGTAGCTCTGCTCCACACCAAGCTGCCAAGTTAATCCTTGGGGCAGCCTGGCAGGTGGCCTGAACGGACGGAATCTTTGTAATGTTTCAGTGAAGCCTATCAGCCCGATCATCACCCTTGAGACCTCTGGAATGTCAGGCAGGAGAAGCCCAGCGTGCAAACCTGGGGTTTATAGTCTTTGCCTTATCGACCCAGCTCTGTGACTTTGGTCAGGCAGTCACTGATTTTTCTCCTAATTCTGTTTCTCAATCTTAAAAAAAGAGTCCTTCTGACTCTCAAATTCTAAAGTTCTATGATTTAACAAACATTTAATTTATAGACTACAACCCGTAGAACATGGTAGCGGTTGTTATGGGGAGAGTGAAAGCCAGTTAGAATCGAACGTAAAACATATTTAAAAAAAAAAAAAAAGGATGAAAATACTCTTGATGAATTATTCTAACACTAGAAACTATGAACTTTAATAAGTGACAATAGTTATAGAAAAGCTTCAGGCCTTTTGTTCACAGGGTCGCTATGAGTTGTGCTGTACTCGATGGCAATCAACGACAATTTTCTTTTTACTTGGATCCACAGTCAACACATAAAAGCAGCAGTGACTTGCTGCATTAGACAAATCTGCTGCCAAAGACCTCAAGAATTAAAAGCAAAAATGTCATTTTTGAGGAATAGGGTGCCCCGACCTCATCATGGTATCTTGAATGTATGTGCAAAAGCTGGGAAATGAATAAAGGAAGACTGAAGAACTGATGCCTTTGAATTATGGTGTGTGTCGGTGAAGAGTGTTAAGGACATTTGAATATACTGTGCCCTGCCAGGAGAACAAACACATTTGGAGAAAAGCATTGCCAAAATCTATTTATTATCCCTATTCCCCCCATACGCTCCACTTGTATTTGTTCCATGTTTCTCATCCAGACTGGGAAGCCTTAGGTTCTCTTTCTGTTCTGCTGGAGAAAAGTTTCCAAAACGTTGTAAAGGAAGAATTGATAGGGTTTGGTGACATGTCCTATAGGGTCAATATGAGATGGAATTTGACACAGGAAATAGAACCTGACTCAATGGTGATGTGTGTGAGACTATTGAAGAGGAGAAAACTGAGGAGACTTAAAAATAGTTCCAACAAATTTAACCCACTGACAAGGAAAATGTTGCCTTAAACAGATGAGGAAGTTGGAGGAGGGGGAAGAATTAAAGGCAAAATAGTAAACTCCATTTTTTTGTAAAAAAATTTGTGTTTTGGGGGAGCTCTGGTGGCCTAGTGGCAAGAAGCTGCACTGCAATCCCAGAGATAGGCAGTTCGAATCCACCAGATGCTCTGCCAGAGAAGGAGGGGCCATCTCCTCCTGTACCAGTCAGATCCAATTTGACGGTACACACACACATGCACAAACAAAATAATAAAATTTAAAAAAAAAATGTGATTTGGGCAGGCCACTTCTGGCTTGCCATGGAGGCTAATGCTACCACTAGCCTAACGCTACCAGTAGCCTGTCGCAACTACTGCTGCTAGAACTTGTGGACAAATGTATAGGATTAAGGATTTGTGTTATGATGAAGAGTGATAAGGAAATTGTTGGCACACCTCTAGGTTTTGATGACTTTGTCAGTCTGGTCTTGGAAGATGTCACTGACTTTGAAATCACACCAGAAGGAAGAAGAATTATGAAATTAGATCAGATTCTGTTCAATGGAAATAATATAACAGTGCTGGTTCCTGGAGAAGAAGGACTTGAAGTATGAGTGGATTTTCTTGGCTGAATGCTAGCTCCTGTTTTGTTTTATAAAGGCAACAAAATGGACTTAAAAAAAACCCTTTTTAATCTTTAAAACCTTTAATGCTAAGTTCCTTGTTAGGGGGAAATGTTTTGAGATAAATTGTAAATGCCAATTTTTAAAAGTTAGTCATGATTATCTTGAGAGGAAAATAAGCAGTTTGCTGTTTGAAGACCAAAATAAAAATGTTTTTTGGTTAACTGTAAAAAAAATATGTGATTTGAGTGAAAATTTAGTTTTATTATTTTTCAATCAATCATTCAGGTACATTTTATCCCATAACATTTGATTATCCACAGTATCTGATTATTCATTCATTCTATTTTGCCTTTCCCTTTACTAATATTAATAAATATTCCATTTTTAATGTGCTGAATTTGCTGAGAAGTTTTGACAGTGACAGTACTAAGAAGTTGGTTTATGGGTTTTAAGATTTCAGAAAACTCCTCACCTTTGATATAGACAATTTATCTTTTTCTAGTAAAACCTAAATCCCCCAAACCTATTTTTGTTCATTGATTTCAATGTCTATTGACCTTATAGGGCAGAGTAGAACTGCCCCGTAACGCTTTCTAGACTATAATCTTTACAGATGCTAACTGCCACTTCTTTCTCCTAAAAGCACCTGGTGGATTAGAACCACAGACCTTCCCATCAGCAGCCTAGTGCTTGGCCACTGACATGTGGTTCTGAAAAGTCTTGACTATGAAAATCATACAGAACACAGTTCTACTTATAGAACTTACAGGGTCTTAAAAAAGACATGAGGTCCCTATGAGTTGAAATCAACTCCACTGCATTTAGTTGGGTTTTGGTTTCAGTACTTCCCAGTTCAGTATATTTAGATACTAAAGGACTGACTACCCTGTTTGTGGGCTCCTTACTGGTTCTTCTTTGAGTGTTCTCATAATTAGAAGATTCTATATTCTTAAATAGGGCACTACAGCTCCCATTTGTGAACAAAATTATCAAAATAGTAGTCTAATCTTCCAACTGCTTTCAAGCTACTCCCCAGAGGTTATTTGACTACTAGCTGGCTCCTAAATTTTTATCCTGGAGGGGCTCATTGAAAAAAGGTGAACTCTGGTGGCCTAGTGGTAAGGAGCTGTTCTGCCAACTCAAAGGCATGTGGTTCGAATCTAGAGCATGTGGCTCCTCTGGAGAAAGACAGGCAATCTCTGGTATGCTTTACTGCCTCTGAAAACCTGCTAGATGAGTCAGTTCAGACTCAATGGCACATAACAACAATTGGAGGAAGGTTTGAAGTTATGTTTGCATATGATAGGGAGATACTTGTCATGCAGTGGTAACTGAAGCAACTCTGGGTGAGTTCAAACTGTCACCTTTCTTTTAGTAACTGAGCACCAGCTGTGACACTTAGGGCCTTCCTGGGAGATGATTAACCAAACCAACCCTGTTGCCATCATGTCTTGCTCTTGGCTGTAATTGATGGAAGCAGATCTTCAGGCCTTTCTTCTGTGTCACTACTAGTCCAACCCTTCGATTAATAGATTCTTAGGTTCAGCTGAACTCAGTAAACATTGAGAAATCTGCTTTGTGTAGGCTTTTGCCAGCCACATACCAGACAATTTTCTTTATTATTCCACAGTGTGGTGCAATAAATTGACGAGGCCCTTCCATCCATACCCTCCCATTTCATGATGAAGTATTTATTGTATTAAGAAGAAAGGATTAGGGTGGGATACAAGTTCTACCCTACTGTTGTTATATGCTGTCAAGTCGACTGTGACTCATAGCTGACCATGAACAATGGCTCTGAACTGATCCCATTGTCACAGTCACTATGTCAATCCATCTCATCAGGATTTTCCACTCCTGTGCTGACCCTCTACCCTTCCAAATAGAATGTTCTTCTCCAAGAACTGGTCCTTCCTGGCAACATGTCCAAAGTATGTGAGGTGGCATTTCAACATCATTGCTTCCAAGGAGCACCCTGATTCCACTTTCTCTAGGATAGATCTGTTTGTTCTCTTGGCAGCCTATGGTATGTTAAATACCCTTCTCCAGCATCACAACTCAAAATCATTGATTCATGTTCTGTCATATTAGTCTTTGTCTAGCTTTCAGACACATAACTTTTGAGAAAACCGTG